ATGCACCTAATCAGAGCAGGACTTTCTAGGACGAGGTTCATGTCCTTGAACAATATGCTGTAAGATGGCAATAATGAAAGGCATGAGACGATTAGCCGTTTTGTATTACCGCAGGACAAAACAATATATTACAGGGAATCTCCTCTTCATAGGACTAGAGCTAATAATCTCGGACATCCTAAAGTACAAGCACGCAATCTCATGAAGCTCGTACCACAAAGTTTCATAAGATTCTTTTAGTTGCAGTAGGGAACAAGTTTCCCCAGATTCTTATGCATCACTGAAATCAAACCTCGGGTTCAGATTCCAAATAACTTACCATTTGAACTAAGTTATTCGAACAACCCTAAATACGTTAACCAATAGAACCATCATAAATTAACACTATACTACACTACAATGAAGGTTGAATCAAACTCTAGTATTCCACTAATATCTGAAATAATGATCAGCGAGATGATTCACGAACTGAAAAAAAAAAACCCACATTTAGTACCTGAATAATGCCCTTAATTCGCCAAACTCCACGCGTAAACACCACAATGTGCGCATCATCAGGGTGAAGATCCTTAACCTCCTTCCTCACTTCCTCCACTGCAACATTGTGATCCGTAGACAACCGCTCTGCCACCACCGCCTGCCCATCCGATGATCTCCTGCCAAGAACTGCCCTCGAATCTCCGAGATTAGCCACATATAAAAGACCATCCGCAATTGCACCAACCAGGCAACACGATCCTACTGAAGCAATCTGCGGCCGCACCATCCATGATCGCTTAACCAACTCCAAGAACTCCTCCTCTGTTGCATCAAAATGCCTGCCTTATCACATCCTCCGATAGTCCACCTTGTTCAGTTGCAAACTCTGAGGGAACAACAAACAACCTTAATTTCGAAGAAAAACACAATTCCTTTTTTTCTTTTTGTTGAAATAAATGTTAAAAGGAAAATAAATTTAAAAAAAAAAAAAAAAAAAGTAGCATCTGAATTTCTTTCACATTGTTTAGCTAAAAAACCTAAAAAAAATCTGTGAGATCAATAAGTCAACTGGGAATCTTCCTGTCTCAATACATATATCTCCTAATTGAAATAAAAGAAAGACAAAGAACATGGGCATTTCTGCAGATGGGCGTACTACTTACTGTGAAGGAAGCGGAAGAGTCGGTTGGTAATGAAGCGGGAAGCTTCAGGACCGCCGTGGCCGTCATAGACTCCAACGTACGTTGCGAGAGGAGATGAGAAACACCTGTCCCTGATCTTCCAGCGCCGAATTTGCTTGAACCACTGCAATCGAATAGTTCCCAGAAGAGTGTGGCTTGAGGTCCATGTGCCAAAGCAGGCCATCGCCGCCGTCTCCGCCACCAAAACACTTCTCCAACGGCCTCCTACACATCTCCAACATCATTGTCAGCTTGGGCTGGTTGTACTTGGATTTTCCCTATGGTTTTGGGGAAAAACAGGAAAGAGGAATTCGCGGGTTTTGGTTTGGTTTGGTAGTTGGGGTGTTGTGTTGGAATAAAAAGAGAGGGACATGGGAATTCCGTGTTAAAGGGTAAATGAAGGATTATATTGGGTGGGGCCAGGCCAAGCCAGACATTTTTTTATTTTTTTAGTTAATCTATATCTTTACATTAGGGGATATGAAGTTCGGCTAAGTCACTCAATAGGCAACTTAATTTGGTATTGAATTTTTTATCCACAAGATTCGAACAATGGGCAACCTAATTTGGTATCGAATTTGTCATCCACAAGATTCGAACTAAAACTCTCACTTCTAAGTAAAGAAGAATATCACCAGATCGTAGTCCTGAGTGGCGGGCTAAAGCAGAGTTGGTGCGTTTAACTTTTAATGATGGTTTTTGGGACTAGTTTTTATATTTATTATGTATTTTTTGTTGAAATTTATTATTATTATTAATCACACATTGTCCAATTACAATTTACGTGTGTAGTTTTTTTTTTTTTTTTTTAACCAATTTCTTTTGAACGGGTAAAATTTTAAATTATAAAGCTTCATTATTTTTTCTCCCTTTATATGTAAATGATATGATTAGCGATTTAATTAAACTAATGGGAGTATCACACATTCATTATTATTCTTACACCCCCTTGATAATTTCCTTCTTTAATCTTCTTTAATTCTTCTACCTACGGCCGAAAATTAAAAATGGTAAGAAGTAAAATGGGGTATATCGATATTAATTGGAGTTTTAATTGAGTGTGAGGGAGAAAACTTATCTAGAGCTTTGTCTTTTTTTTTTTGGAAAAAATATCTAGAGTTGTTAACGAAAAGAAAGAGAAGAATCATGTTCTTTGTTCTTTATTAACATTTAATGGAAAACAAGTTCTATGGTGTTTTTAGGTATGGGATAGGATCACAACTCATGAAGTCGTGGATCCTTTGAATTTCGAGGATTCTAAGTCTTGGTTTGCCATTGACTTATGATCCATGAAATATTAGAAAAGAAGAAGGAACCATTTGATTCTTATTGTTGAAGTACATGGTTTGTTTAACTGAGCAGTTTTAAATATAAAAAGCATTCTGATCGATGATTGGCAAACAAAAAGTTAAAAAGAGCTCTGAGTTCAAAACGTAAGTAACATGCTTTTTGAAGGAGCATAACTTTTATTAAAAAAAATTTATTGCTATTTAATATAAGCGCTTTTAAAAGTGATTCTAAGCATAACGCTTTAAAGAAGAAGCAATTCCAAATGACCCAAACAATTATTATTGGAATTAAATTGCGCACTGCTATGGGAGGTTTGAGAAGTCAAACCGTTTACATGCAAATATAAACAACTGTCAAGTTAGTCATCAATATTATGAAACTCAAGCATAGCAGAGAAAAGATATTGGTTACTAGAGAATGAACCATAGAAGGGTATCTATACATTCAAAAGCCTTTTAAATCGTATTACCGAGTCCCAAAATGATACTGAAATATATTGTTCTTAGGTGTAATTACTGCCACGCCAAAATATAAGAAAACTTGATTACTATTTGGATTAGTCATATCTTGTAACAGCATTCATTGAGAACGCGGAGCCCACTTGCTCCAGATTGGTTATCAGTGCTTTATCAACCATTGGAAATGCTGAGTCCATCAAAAGACTTTACCGTATTCATTTTTCCGCTTACTCAGTTAAAATCATGACCCCACAAACCTAATATAAAGACGAACGGTTAATACCCAGAAAAATTTAATTATGAAAAGAGACCTCATAGAATTATGAGACGGCGAGAAACGAGTAATGATTATGGTTATGAAATCGAGGAAATTTTAAAAAGTTGTGGAGATAGACAGTTATACAGTCAACGTTATGTAAGTGAAGTGATGAGAGACTTTTTGACAACGAGCTGACGAAGCGTATCTCTATCCTCATGAGATTATCCGTGATCTGCTTATTTCAGTCCGCTATGCCACCGAAATAGTTCTCAAACTCCCAGATGCGGAAAAGTGAAGGAACTCTTCAATGACACAGACTTGGGATTTACCCATTTTGGGATCCGGACTTGGCTTATACGGCCTGTTGGGAACGAAGTGTGTGGGCGACTATGGGCACGGCACATAGAGAGGATAACAATGTACGAAAGAATAACGCGCATGAGGGAGGAAACCATATAACGTGTAGATAATTAGCCCTCAAGCTTTTAAAAAATTCTTGTTCATTTGACAAAAATCGGTGATGGAGTATTTTGGGCAGAGAAATTGATAGTTAGGGAGATATCGATTGTAATGAGGAGAAAGATTTAGGCGTGAGTTGTGTTTCCGATTATCTATTAAAGTGACTCTCCATTAGCTAATTGATCACTCCATGACTGTAATGGACTCTTAGTTTTTAAGTTGGTTTTCTTCAGTCAATGCAGGCTGAGACCATGAATTCAATTTGTAATTTCATTGGCATTCTATATCTATTTCTTGCATAAGCTTCTGAATACAGAGGACGAGCCTTTGATTTGCAGCCGAGTACGCATGTTCACGACACGAGTTATGGTACGTGAGTATGTTATTTATATTGAAGGAAGAAATGATTGTATGGTCAGTTTGTAAAGAACTAAGTTGGTAAGCTACCAGACTATGAGCTGGAGGCGATGGCTCCGTGGAGAATAGCATTTTTAGTGTGTAGGCATATACGCAAGGGAAGCAAACACTCAGCAGGAGTTTGGCTTGATCAAAAAAGGAATAATGACCGAAGAAAACATCGAGAAGCAATAAAGGAAGAAATGGTCCAGAGTGTTTTTTTTAAAAGAGAAAATGCCTTGTGAACTCTCTGGCTTGAACTCCGAAGGTATGTGATCTACAAGAAGTTAGATGCAGTTAGACAGCCAAACGTGTTAAATAGAATAGTAAAGCAGGAAATGTTAGTGATGGTTTAATAATAAAGAGGAACTATGAATTTTGTCCTATCACTGTACTTATTCCATATAAAATTTCGGGGGCGTTACGAAACTATTTTGATATCCAGGTCATCGAATTGAAAGAAAGAAAACACAACCCTAGCACGATCTCTCTCTGTCGATTTCAATGGCTGGGTGTTTTGGGTTCGTCTTGGTAACATTGACCATCGCTGTTCATTTAGCTAGCTCGTCAGCCATTAGTGGTTTCCAACTTTCTATTATAATTATTGGAAATGCTAAGAAACCTCTCAAAGTTATGATGCTTCATAAGCTTCTCCACCATCTCATCCTTTTATCACAAAGTCATTCCAATGTTTATTGGATGTCCCCCAAAGAGGAACTATTTACACAATAGTACAATCATGTTGGTCTAATAGAAGGCATCTCTCATAGAGGCAGCGCAAGTTATGAAACGTTAGCCAGAAATGAGACAAGTGTCAATCATATTCCCGCTATTTATTATTTACTCTAATATAAATAATGGCTAATGTTCGTAATTTATAACAGTATCAGACCCTTTTTCATTTCAAGCACATGACTACTGACTGAATCAGGGTTTTAGAAAGGGCTTTTCGTGAAATTCCCCGGTTCAGATTCTGGCGCGGTGTGGATCCAGAATGCAGAGGACCATCCCGCTTTTGCGTGGGACTCTGGCGAGAGGCCGCGGATTTTCCACGAGCCCATCGTCTTCTTCCGAGAAAATCGTCGCGTCTGTACTCTTCGAGAGGCTGCCTGTCGTCATCCCCAAAATCGACCCCGTCGTTTATGCGTATCAGGAGTTCGCGTACGTTTCGTTTCTTATTCTCTCTCGAGATGTTTTTCTTTCTTGTTTATTTTCTGTTTGGTTGCTCGGAAAATGTGGGAAAGTGAACTAGATTAGAGGGTAGGGGTTAGCTGCCGAGATAGTTGTGGAAAAGAACTGAAAATATGGATTACTTTGCTGTAGAAATCTTTAATTTTGTTGTCAATTCCTCTGTTTGAGTGCTTATTACTTGTCATAGTCTCAAATGGCGGGTTTGGGGCAAGTGGATGATGGCTTCAATTTTGGTTTTTTTGGTGTGATGAAGGTGCTATGGTGATAGATATTGATCAGAATACCTACATTTTTTAGGAAATTTGGTTTAAATTCTGTTGATTATTTGAATTTGTGTTATGAGTGGCTCATATTGGTGTTTTATACCCTCGGAGTTTAGGTTCCGGTGGCGACAGCAATATCGGCGCATATATCCGGATGAGCTTTTAGACAAGTCTAATGCTAGGTAAGGTTTGTTTTGAAGGTTTACTGCTTCATCTGGGAATATGTTAATGTTTGCTCTTCTTTTTACCTCTATCGTAGCAAATACATCACGTTGTTCACTTCTTTTCTAATCACTAATTTCTTAACCGTAGACCTTCAAAATTCATTAACCCCTAAAATTTGTCCTCGAGAATATCCTGAATTGCACTAAATAATATTTGCTCTGTTTGTTGATTGGAATGTCTTTAGATTTCCAGCGTGTATTTAAACATTTTGTGTCGAGTGTTAGGTCAAACTATTCATCAGTGTAAATGGCTCCAACTCCATGAGTAAGTTTTTAATAGTTGACAGTTTCATGAAATGTTGATATGCATTCTTTTAAAGAAAAACTAATGAAAATGGCTTGAAAACTTTGAGTTTTAACGATAAGGACAAAATAAAGGGTAAAGTGAATAGTACCATGTTTGACATTTTAGTGTAAAAATGTGGTTTTTCGTTAAAGTGAACAGTACCGCAGGTTTTTCGTTAAAACTCCCTTCTTTTTAAACGTAGTGGGACTGTGTGTTATATTTCTTTTAACAAGGAAAGGCATGCAAGCATCCTTGTGGAGTTTGTTTTATGCGTCTCTAAGTTATGAAAAGTTATGATGTTGATATTAGTATGAGGAACAATGAGGTTTAGTATATATTCTGGGGGGTCTATCCCTATACCTCATTCATTCTGTTCTTTTTTTATGGGAAGCACTGAAAGCCTACATCTGCCAAGTGATCGTATCAAAATTTATAAGCGCTTTTTTGGTTTATTGCATAAGCCTTACTCACACTTGATGCCCACAAGACAATTGCAAATAGAAGTCATCCTCTAGCTTGACACTTACTTTTGGTGAACAGGGGAAAAGGTGACTACCAAATTGATTATGTACCTGCTCCACGGATCACCGAAGCTGACAAAACGAATGATAAAAAGTATGGAGTATAATTTTTATGATGCTATATAAAAGTCCAGTTATTCTTCTTTTTTTTTTTTTTTTTTTTTTGTTTCCAATTTTCATTTTACGGTTTTGTTTGAAGTTCTTATTGCTTATGATATTGTGGGATCTTCATATTCTTTGTAAAACCTTTTCTACAACCTTCTTGGATGTTAGAAGACAATAAATTGTTTTCTGCTAGCTGTTGGACATTTGAGTGATTTTTATTGATAGTTTGGGGTAATTATTTTTTCTATATGTGAAAAACACAATGTTTAAGGTTGGTTGGTTCCTGTTCTTTAGGTCATTGCAGAGAGCACTTGACAGAAGACTATATCTTCTGCTCTACGGAAACACTGATGGATCTGCTGGGAAGTCAGTCTGGCATTTTCCTGAAAAAGTTTACCAGTCTGAAGAGACACTGCGGAAGGTGATGGTTGCTATACGATGCCATATACTTCTCTTCTTCTTTATCCTCCTAAAATTCCATGTAGTTCTTCGTTTTTTTTCCACAATTGCATAAATCCGTTCTATTTTCAGTGTGCTGAATCTGCTTTAAAATCTGTCTTGGGAGACCTCTCACACACGTACTTTGTTGGAAATGCGCCCATGGGCCATATGGAACAGCCAGAAGAGAATATTAAGGTATACTTTTGTAAATTATGTTTTCTTTCTTACACCAGATTGGCTTCACGCGATAAATGTTAAAATGCATATTGGTGTTGCCTGTCGATCCTGTATATTTAATCACAATTTCATTTTCCTCCATTTTCAGCAATTCTTTTTCAAATCTCAAGTGATTGCAGCCAACAAGTTTGACATTGGGAAGTGTGAGGACTTTGTCTGGGTGACCAAAGATGAACTGATAGAATACTTTCCTGAGAAAGCCGACTTCCTTAACAAAATGATCATCAGCTGAATCCCCCACCCGTTTTTTGTTCCCTGAAAGTTTTTGCATTTCAGTGAAAGAATTAGTATTGACTCTTTATGGTAGATTAAAGCTGGCATAGAGAATCGTAGGTTATAGAAAGCTGAAAATTTTGTGTTCATGCTTTTGGTGGCTGACACTTGACCATATCGGATTGTTTGTCACTTGGATCAATGCTGTTTCTCAATGTAAGTTGCCAGCTTTTTTCGTCTGCAATAATATGTTCCTTTCTGCAATTGGTGCTGTGCTGCTGATTGATAAGTATACATTTTCTTAGCAAAGCTTCGCATATGCGATATTCCACCATAGTTTCATCGCCCGATTGCGCATGTTCAGATATATGCCAGTATTGTACCTTGAGGCCCTTGGATGTTCTTGTCGTGTAAGGCTGGAAATCCATCCAGGTGACCGATCGTGTGAAGTGAACTACGAAAGGATTCGGTTCGATCGGATTGGATTGGATGGGATGGGATGGGATGAAGGGATAGGATTAGTGTCCTTGGTATGGGTCTTGCCCTTGGGTGTAGGTCACGAAAAGTATATTAAATTAAGGCACCTCTCCCAGGTTAAAATTACAGATTGACCAACCTCTTCTCACCTTCCATCACCTTCCACCACCTTCAAGTATTGGTTGAAAGCTTGTATTATATATACGACTAGGATTTGTGGACAAACGTTTTTGTGAGACTCACTCTATAATGTATTTGAAAGATTCAACCTTTATCTTTTATGACTTACTTCAAACATCAGTCTACGAAAAATATCCAAATCCGAAACTATATGACCATTAAATTAATTTTAATGTTTTTTTTAATTTTTTTTAATTTTTTGTATAACCGTATCACTTCATTTTAACATTTGTAAAAAGATAAATGGAATGAAAGATGTACCGAATCATCAATGCTAATGAAAGATGATCCCTAGTTTTGTTCTTGTGCTACATGGGATATATTTATTTATATGAATCATATAATCTGTGTGATTTTTATTTACTTATTGATAAATATAGACATAACTTACAAGTCACACTAAAAATAAATTTGGAAAAACAAAGTAGATGTTGTAAATATGGATGACATTATTTGGTTTGAATAGATCTTTATGTGTGGGACAAAGTTAAAAAAAATGGCTCGGTGGAGAGGCACACAATTTTAAGGATTTCTAACCAATATTCCTAATCATCACATCTCACAATTCCTATTTAATTGTCAAATATTAGCTCAAAAATAAAACACAAGCAGTAGAAGAAGAAGGTACACAATCTATTGTTTCCATTGCCTTTGTAATTTCAGTTTGATAACGAGAGATACTACTGCTACTGTCATGAGGACGTAGGCACACTTGCCGAACCTCATAAAATATTGTATCTTATTTGATATATGTTCTATTGCACATATATAATCGATTGCACAACCACATAAACGTTGTTTATGATGTCTAATAAAAGTTATAGTTCATCATCAACTACATTGGCTTGATGAAAAATGCAATAAAATAAAATAGCTTGGAGCAAGGATGGAGCTAGAAATGTTTTTGACTGGGGGCGTCCTAAAACAACCAAGTAAAATAATGGGTGTTAAGTTGTTGAGGGTCAGATACAATGAAAAATCTCTAAATTAAAAAGTTAAATTTTAAATTGTAATGTCACAAACGAATGGATGAAGTAAATTCATATAAAATACTTTGCAGTAAATTTTTTATATCAAGTTATGATACTTCATCGGTTGAATCCAATCTATTTATGAAACCCCAGTTCAATTGAGTTTGATTTAGGTTAGAAAACGTGGAATATTCAGAACCAAAATAAAAAATTTAATTGTTGTTTTAATTGTCATGACAATTTTTTTCATCACCCAAAAATCTGAATGGGGGCGGATGCCCCCTCTGGGCCTTAGATAGCTCCGCCCTTGGCTTGGAGGTCATTGGACAGCCTTCGAGTATCGAAATCTAGGAGTCTCCTTCAACGAAAATATTTTTCAGATGCATTCTAAACTAACCCAAATCTTAAAGCAAAAGCTTAGCTTCAAGAACTGAAACATACCCAATATGAACCCCAAAAAAAGAAAGAAAACTCCAGGTTCATATATATCATAGGTGAAACATTAACAAGCTGACTAAAAAGATAAGAAGAATAACTAACTAGTCTCGAAGTAGATGACGCATAATCACACATGTCCTAATTGTCGAGTCAAATGTCAAGCTCTGATGAGTAAAAAACCATGACAATCATAATCCATCGTAAGATCCTGGGAAGCAAGCTCGAGTAAAACGTCAGTGACTTGTAGTTCAATTGGTTAAGAGCATTCACTTTGCACCCGAAATTTTGTGTTTAAATCTCATTTCCACAATTTAATATAAATTATCCTTGGGTAATAGAAAGCCTCAAATAAAACGGCAGTCGTTGCCGATCTCGAATACAATTTTGTTATTTTACATGAGTATAAAGGTTGAAAATAATAAGAAAACAAAAAGAAAGTCAAACAAAGGTTGCAATACTATTTAGTGCGCGCTGGACCTCATTGCCGTTTGTCGATCCTCTCATCACAAAACAGCCACCTCCCCACCTCACATCGTGAATTTCACGTCGTCCATCGAGAGGCGTTTTCCTTCTCCCACAGAGAGAGAGAGAGAGAGAGAGAGAGAGAGTCAGCGAAACTTGACCCTCCCCTTTCCATTTATTGACTTCCTCCAGATGCTCCACGAAATTACTCTCTGAAAAGTCTCTCTCTTTGCGCGCGAGATGGACTCAACAATGGAGGACGCAACAGCCGCCACGCCAACGGTGTCGTGGGAGCTGCCGCCGCCTCCTCCCAACGCGAACCCTAACTCGGAGCTCCCTTCTTCCGATCCTCCCAAAACCAGAGAAGAGGGCGAGCTGTCTTCCGACGATGATGACGACGTATGTTCATCTCCCCAAACCCTAGTTTTTGGAAATTTGATTTTGGTTCCGATTCCGTTTGTTTCTGAGCGTACGTAAATGTTATCTGTATGATTGGTATTTGTTTGGTTTCTGAGAGAAGAGGTGGGAATTCCCTTTTCCTGAATCAATTTCTCATGCAGTCAAGCTAGGTTAACCTACTGTGTTAGATTGAGTAAGAGTGTTGGATTTGGATTTATTTAATCTTTATATGAGTTCATTACTTTTTGGAGTGAAAAATGAGTGAAATTTGAAATTGGGATTTCAATTTAGGTGTTTTTCGTGTGAAGTGATTTGTATTTAGCCAAATATGTGATGTTTTGAGTCTGATTCTGTTTGTATCATTTAGGGCATGCCTTATATATCATGTGCTTTGTTTTGCAGCAAAATGTTGATATTATATGCAATTTTTTGAGGTTATTATTATTATTTTCTGCACTGCTGTAAAATAAATGCGAAAATAATGATGGTGTTAAATGGGTATTTCTATCTCACATCACAGGACAATACTATTTGCTCTGCTCCACATTCCACGGGTATCAGCGTGCCTCCTTCAGGGGCTGTGCCTGTTCAACCATTGAACAAACTGACTCAAGGCATTCAAGTTGGTAAGTCTTGCTTGCCGTGATAATGAAAGATGATGCGTCCTTTCTTTTCTTTTAAATATTGTTTAAGTTGGAAAATTTACATAGAGCATCAACGCGAACTCCCACGTCGTGCCAAACAGGCATTGACAATGGCTGATCTTTTTTCATACCGTGCCCTGACCAATTTGAATTTACTTGTAGTCATGTGGTTAAAACATAATGCACATCTGTTAAGGAGACATGGATGCTATAAACTATTGTACTTAATGAACACGCCCACACAGAGTTGGTGGCTTGTGTGTTTTGTACTAGAGCTGGACACTGACTTTTTGTGCATCTTTTCCCATTAAATGATGTGGTAAAAAGCCAGACCACCATATTACACCTGTTATTTACGAGTCCATTTGCATCTTTCTTGTTGGGCCAATAGGTTTGTATACTTATCATTAGTTTTATTTTCATGATGTATGGTGAAGTGAGTCATGCATATAAGCTAATGATAAATATTCCTTTCCTGTACTACAAGTTCGTTAGATGTATTTATGTTGTTGTAACAGGGAAGGCTGTATGTGGAAATGATCCTGCAAGCTCTGCTGATATTCAAACCCAAACATCCATACAGTCTACATCCCAGAAGAGCAATGATACAAACCGAATACCATTAAAATCTGCCACACCTGGATGGGGTGCCCCTATGGGGTCCAACGATAATCTTGTTATAAACTTCTCAGACGATGATAGTCACAGTGATTCTGAAGAAACAGAGCACAGGAAAGAAAAAGCTAGAGAAACTAAAAGTCATGTGACTGGAGTGGTTTTTAATGGAAAACCACCTACTTCATCACTTGCAAGATCAAACAAGTTACAACAGACAGCCAGGAATGTGGACAAAGTAATGCCTAAAAAATTGGGTATGAATCGCACTTTTATCTCATCAATGTCCAAAATCCGCGGAGCAAATTTTCGGGATTCTGGTCCTTCATCAGTTAATCAAGGATCTCGAGTTAGAAATTATGATTCCATGAACAAAAATTTAGTGAGCCAAGAGCGTGGACGTGATCAAGGTGCGGGCTTGAACAATAGTAAACTTCAGGACTTGCGGCATCAGATACGTGATCAAGGTGCGGGCTTGAACACCAGTAAACTTCAAGACTTGCGGCATCAGATTGCACTCAGGGAAAGTGAACTAAAGCTCAAGTCTGCCCAGAGAACTAAAGAATCAATTACATGTAGGGACGATAATGCTGCAAGCCAACACAGAGATGGAGCTAGTAAATCCAGTGTGAGATATTCTGATGTTACACAGATAGAACCAAAAGAGCCAGATAAGAAACGCTTGAAAGTTGGTGGCCCTTTTTCCACCCAGCCAAGTGTTCAAGGCCCACAAGATGTACCTGTTGCAAAATCTATTTTATCATCAAAAGTCTCAGCAGCGGAGGACAATGGTCCAATGAACAGAGTTAAGGTTGATCATGGCCAGAAAGGAATTCCTGGTCCAACAGAGTTAAGCATCGTAGAATGGAAAAATCAAAATGATAAACATGTTGCTGCTACATCAGAAAATATACATAGTGGAGTGAAAGATGGTGAATATCTTGCCTTCTCTCTCTGAAACTAACTCTGTTTAGAGATGCCTTATCAATCAAGATAATTTGTTTCTTTTTTCTTCCTGCAGGTGCTGGCATCAATATTAAAGTCATCCAATCCGATAGGAAGAGCAAGCTGGTGGATCCTTCTACACTAAACAAGGTGACATCACCAGAAAGTGTGACTTGCAATAATTTGCCGAAGAACTCAGTAAGTGAATATTTTAATAACTGCAGTACTGCTGCTGATTAATTTAATTTTCCTATATTGTAGGTTTTATTATTTCCTCACCTCTGCCCTAGTATAACTTTCATAATTGAAATGTCCTTTCATTGGTGGTAAAACTTGTGCAGCCATCTTTGCTGTTTGTGTTCGATGTGTCTCTCATGTTGCACTTTGTGAAATTTCAATATAGCATGAAATTGGTGTCTAAGTTACCATAATAGTGATTTCTGGCTTGCAGAAAACACTGAATTGTACACAGAGAAGAGTTAATACCTCCAGTGTAGTTTATAACTTTTTATAGCTTAACCTTAATCCACCAAATTGTCCTGTCAACTCTTTTCTGTACTTGTGAACCAGTTTATATTGCTGAGCCTTGATCCATTGTGAATGAGTTTGTAAAACATCATTTTACTA